CCCCTGGAGTTCTTTTCCACACTCGCCATAATTCACCACCAGATGTCAGAGTAGAGCTCATCCTGACTCTGCTTACACACATGGGGCTCATGTGTGAAACTGATGCTAATGGAATTCAGTGAGTCTAATGGGAATTAAAGTGTGCTTAAGTGTTTCACTGGATTGGGCAAAAGCACCTTCAAGGACTGAACTCATGAACCAGTCCCACTGAACTCAATGGAACTACTCATGTGCAGTGACAGATTAATGATTTTGCTGCCCTGAAATAATTTCTGCCCCGCCCGCCTCTGGCCCCGCCCTGACTCCACTCTTTCCCCACCCCCATTCCAACCCCTTTCCCAAAGTCCCTGCCCCAACTCCGCCCCCTCCCGGCCCCTATTGGATCCCTTCCCCCAAATCCCCGCCCCGGCCCCACCTCTTCCCCCAGCGTGCCGTGTTCCCCCTCCTACCCCCTCCCTCCCTCCCTGCCCTGCGAAACAGCTGTTTCGTGGTGCAAGCGCTGGGACGGAGGGGAGAGAAACAGGACGCTGCGGCGCACTCGCGGAGGAGGCGGAGGTGAGCTGGAGTGGGGGGGGGCGGGGCGGGGAGGTTCTCCGTGGATGCTCAAATTTGCCACCTCTAGGCCTTGTTGGCCTAGGCGATAATACGCCGCTGCTCATGTGCATGAAGTTAAGCATGTGTATAAGGCTTTACAGGACTGGAGGCGGTGTATGTATTGTCTAGTTCCCTGATGCAACATGAACATGCAATGGGGGGGGGGTAACACTAATGAACAAATATTTCTTATAATGTGATCTTACTTAATTTAACCTTTCAGCAGAGTAACTATTTATTGTATGTTCTCTTTACTTACAGTGATGGTTCAAATATATTAGTCATTTACATCTGATTTTTGGAAATGTTTAAAAGTCTATGGGGAGCATTGGATTTAAATATTTGTCAAACTCTAATTTATAACATTTATCTATTATCAAATATTTTTCCAGAATTTATTTATTGCCAAATATTTTTCCAGAATAAACGCAGTGAGATGAAACATCTTGCCCCAGATCTTAAAGTTACAAAGTCACATGTTACATCAGCAAGTTAAAACTTAAAAATATATGGTATACACTATAACTAAAGTACAGTACAGTTTTAAATTCTTTTAAATGTTCAGATTTTAAATTCTGCACATATAATTACATTTTAAATGTGAAATGAGCAAGAATTAAATGTGAAATGTGTAAATACAAACTGGCTATCTCTCAGGAGAACGTGCGATCATACTAATTGGGCCATATTTAAAACTGATATAACTACACAGACATCAAGTAGAGTGAATTCAGCCCAATAAGCTCATTATTGGTCTGATCCAAAGTCCACTAAAGTCATTGGGAAAGTACCATTGACTTAAATGGGCTTTGGATAAGGCTCCAGCATCACAGGTTTAGGGATACATAAAACATGTATGTAGCCGTATACAAATAACAGTGATCAGCAGGAACAAAAATCTTGCTTGTTGCCATAAGAAATTTTGTCCAAGATAACTGAAATTACAGGCTGCAAGCCTTTTTACACCCAGGCTAATGGGAACTTGTTGCACGTAAAGGTAGTAATCCTATGAAGATAGCTAAATGGCAATGGATCATGAAAAAGAGATAATTTCCTTGTGATTAGTAGTTCAATGTATATACGGTTAGCGGTTTACTGCATGTTATATTCCCAAAGGCAAATATTTTGGCTAATGTGCCAAAATGGCCCATGAGAAAAGGGAAAAAGAAATATTAATTAAAGAATATTTATTTCACTGATCTAAGGCAATGTTCAAATTATACTGTTCCCCAGTGGGTACCACTTTTCTTCATTTAATGGGACACTGTTCAGTTGAATGTTGATAGCTCCCACAAATGTTCCTTTGCTT